AAAAAAAGATGTCGATTCATATTATAACGTTCTATTTCGAGCAGCTTTAGTTTCTTGCCACACTTAGCGTGACGCAGGCTCTCGCAGGCTCCCGCTCAATTAAGGTCTTCGATGCACTAAATGAGCGGGAGTTTTAAAATGTACAAAAACAAATCCCAAAAATACTATCTAAGAATTAAAAAATCTTTTATAACTTTATTACCAATCTAAAAAAAGATGTCGATTCAATATTGTAACGTTCTATTTCCGGAGCAGCTTTAGTTTCTTGCCACACTTAGCGTGACGCAGGCTCCCGCTCAATTAAGGTCTTCGATGCACTAAAATGAGCTACTCTGCGTATAGAGCATTTACAAAAATCATCGGAGTTGACTGTCCTTCTGAGGGACCTGAAACTGAATCACGGCTCACGTTATAAAAAAAATATTCACGCCTCATGGCTAATTTTTTCGCATTTTCACGACTAACGGCTAATTTTTCAGCCGTTTCACGGCTCACGGTTAACCCCATTGAGACCCTCACTATACTATGCATTAAACTGATTTAGTAAACATTTAATTTTGGTTCGCATTAGGAAAAAAAACGAACACCCCCCCATTTGTGAGGTAGCCTACGGGCCTGCAACATCGCATAATGTCCTCCGTTATTTCCAGCAGCAAAGTTTTAGGACTGTWAGGTAGGATGGGAAAATCAACTTGTACGTTTGATAAGAAGGCTGTTTGTCATCTTGTCTGCAACTGATCGCAGGTCAKGTGCCATTTTCCTGCCAATTCCGACGTTTGATGTATTTTTTCGGTTATTGGTGYTTGCTCTCTTTGGTATTGTTACTTGAATTAGGCCCGGTTCATACGTCTTGCTATCGTCGCGCCGAACCAAATAGTCAATTGGTGTCGACCCAAATACATGTGGTACGGCGTTGATTCATAAGTCGAAACCAAATGCAGTTAAAAGCATAAGAAAAATTACTATACCAAGCAATTTACATCCATTATTATTCTCGAGAAAAATATATTTTTGTGCGTTGAGTTCAGCACGACGATAGATCGACGYTTGAATCAGCGTCGACTGGATTTTGCCGTGCAGCACGACCACCGCTGCCCTACCACTGCCGTGCTACGGTCGCACCGAACTCAATTAATTCACACTTCGAGCTGTTGATCTCGGGATGGGGKGAGGGRGGAGCTGTTYATGTGCTAAATTCAAACTATTTGGTTCGGCGCGAAGCTTGCTCGACGTATGAACGTTAACYGGGCYAATATTCCTGGTGCCCTACKGTTCATCGTGAGAAGCCTGAGCTATTGTRGTGGTAACATGTCTGMCAGTCGTCGAAAGCASTGGTGGAATATAATTAGAATTGTTCATTACTTATAATCCCTACTGGTCGTTATTTRAAGATGCARCGCATGCGCGTGGAAGTTCTTCTGGACCCTTTTGCTCGCTCTKTTGGGYTGTTGATCGCGGATATATTGAAGTCTGGGATTGCAAAATAATATTATGTTTATACTAGTTCCGGTCATGGGTCTAGTCCAGTCCAGGCCTCCTTCAAACCCGCTCCAGGACTCGCGGGCAAAGAGAGTCCAGTATAACTTGCATGTGCGATGTGCAGAACAAGACAATCAGATTAATAGTCATAGACGTAGACCGCTTAGAATTTTCAAACCCTTACGGAATTCGAAATTTTTTTCCATTATTATTATTTGATTGATTTAGTAATTCGCGTACAAATGCCAATTTACGGTCAACGATAAATTTTATTAACTAAACCGTCTCTTAACTTATATGACAGTAATACTATTCAAAGCTTTGAAATGACGAGAAAAAATAATAGGATTGTTTTCCAAGTGCCATACCAGGGACAATAATAATCACAGATGGAAATGACATTCCATCACTCTTTCTGCATATATTGTACATAGAATTGTAACCTCGGGATTAGCACATCTATCGCGAGATCACAGCTGATAGGCACATGCAAGTTATACTGCACTCTCTTTCCCCGCGAGACCTGGAGCGATTCGAAACGCATGGACTGGACTAGCCATGGCTCAATTCGTATGATCATCAGTAACACTTCGAAATTCAGACATTTTGAGCTGTTTGCTTCAATGCTTACTTTTTTTAATGGGATTTAAAAAAAATTCAAGATGGCGGTCCAAGATGGCGGTCCAAGATGGCGGATCCTATTGATGGCGGAACTTCAAAAACTCCTCAAATTGTAGTTTACTATAAAATACCGATGTAGACAAAAAAGTGAGATTTGGAGTCAAATTATTCAAAGACAACAAAGACACTATAGAAAATGACGTCATCACAATTATGACGTGTTAAGATTGATACAAAACGAAACACAACATCACAGGAGAGCAGTAAACGCCTAAATATGATACTTAACTGGTTATCTAGATATAGATATATAATTTATAAAAATTACCTGATATCTATGACGTTATTGTGACGTCATATCGAACAGGGGTCAATTAAAAAAAATAAAAATATTATTTTCAAGTCATTTCATTCATTCATTGCAGCACTCTCTATGGCATTGTAGGCAATTTATTAAAAGGCAATTATATATCGTTAAAATGGTGTGAATGACGTCATTATGACGTCACATTTGCTTCCAATGGGTCAAAACTGGGTATGGTGTTTTTTTTTTACGCCGGCGAGCATTGTGTGAAAATTTCATGCTCGTAGACTTATTGTTTCCGAAGATATTGAGGGGGGCCCAATGAGCTCCCCCGCCCCCCCCAGTCACAGATTGCAAAAAAAAAAAAAGGCCAGTCTGAATAGGGTTAATGTCCAGCCGTTTTGTGTGAGATACAAGTCCCTAGACAGTGCTTACTGAGCTTTAATCCCAATTATACCAGGGCCGCGAAGCGGCCTGTAAGTATAATTGAAATTATATTAACAAACGTAGTGAGAAATATATGAGAAAATAACAGGAATATTTCCATTTACTGTGCTTCGGACCATTCTTTAACGCATAAAAATGCAAAAACAATTGAGTATGACGTAATACCAGCTTCCCCCGCGACACCAGAGGCGCAGCTACTAAGCATAGCCATTCTTGGACGCCTGTGTGAAGCTAACATAGTGAGAAATATATGAGGGGGAAAACCCGTGGGAGGGAGGGATTCTCATATATTTCTCACTACGTTTGTAAATATAATTTCAAGTATACTTTCAGCCCGCTTAGCTGCCCTGGTATAATTGGGATTATATTTCACAAACTCCGTTCGAAATATATGAGAAAATAACAGGAAGATTTTAACGCCAAGTTGTTAATCACCCATGAGGGATCGGAGATGTCAATAACTTTATTTCATAAAAGAAACATGTAACATATAATTATGTTGACAAAACCGCTTGTCCATAATTTGTTTTGAATAAAGGTCTATACTAAAACTTCTGAAAAGTATTAGGAGTGGACCAGTCAGCCATTTTAAGGATGTCRTTTAACGGGACATTGTTATTGGCTGCAGCTGTTGAGGATGCTCCTCTAACTGAATGAGCTTTGAAAATCTCAGTGTTGATTCCTGCATCATTAATTGATACTTTTAGCCAGCGGCTCAGAGTAGCTGTAGAGATGGGATGGTGTGGTTTCACGTATGATAAGAACAGACGATCTCCTTGAGAATTGGTAGAATTCAAGCGAAGTGACCTGGTTCTTTGCAAGTAATGCTTGAATGTAGTTTTAGGACAAAGCTTAGAGTTTGCAGTAAAGCTTGMAAAGAAAKCTTTGGCGGATTCAAGTGAAGACCCTCGTTTACGTGGTGATGTTAAAGTGAATAGTACGCCTTCGGGTAGAAGTTGACAATACCTGAGGTCCAGCTTAGTTAAAGATGAGACCCGTTCTGGGCAGGTTAGAGCGAATAGCATTGCTAACTTTAAAGTTAGCTGTTTTAAGGAGAGGTTGCGATTRACTCCAAGAGAAAYAAAATACTTTGTTACCTTGGCAACGTCCCATGTATATGCATATCTTGGTACGGGGGGACGGATATTACGCATTCCCTTCAAAAGCTGAGTGATTAATGGGTGTTGTCCTATAAGGTATCCGTCTATTCGTGGATGACATGAAGAGATTGCAGAACGTACTACATTTGCTGTCCTGTAAGCCACGCCTTCTTCAAATAATTCAGTAAGGAAGAGTAGGATCGTGTTTAAAGGCGCTGAAACTGGATTAATCTTTCTTGAATTACACCAGCAACTCCAGCRTTTCCAAGCTGATTGGTATGTCTTATGTGTGGAGGATCGAGGGCTGACAAAAGTATCGTGGTAACGTTTGGCGGAATGCCTTCTGTTTCATGTAGTTTCCTGATATGTGAAACACGCCCAGATGTAGTCTGGGAAACATTGGATGAATCCTGTCCGGATTCGATGGGTCCTTGAGAAGATGTTTCGAGTTGGGAAGTAATAYTGGTTCCTTCACAAGCATGCGAAGGAGGACTGGCCACCACGGCTGTGCTTGCCAAACGGGCGCTACGAGAGTGAGGTCTGCTTTGTTTATCTTTGTCTTGTAAAGTACTGCTCCTATCATTGCAAACGGGGGAAAAGCGTATCCCCGTATTGGACCCCAATCTATGRTCATGGCGTCTGTGATTATTGCCTCTGGATCCGGACGCCAACTTATGWACCGAGGGAGTTGATGTGTTAGACGGGAGGCGAAGAGATCTGTGTCKCAGTCTCTGATCATTGGTTGAATGATAGATGGGTTTAACTGCCATTCGCTTGTGTCGTAAAACTCTCTCGACTCCCTGTCTGCTGTTGTGTTTAACTKTCCTGGGAGGTGCTGAGCTGTTATCAATATGTCTCGTTTGATGCAACATTGCCAGATTTCCAGTGTCAGGCTGATTAGTTTTGGGGAGCGAGTTCCCCCTTTGTTGTTGATGTGAGCAACAGAAGTTGAATTGTCCATTCGTATGCAAACCACCTTTCCGGTTTGGTTTTTCATGAAGGTCTTTAGAGCGAGGAAAGCCCCTTTTAGCTCTAGATAGTTTATKTGCAAGAGTTTTTCTTGCGCAGACCAGAGTCCGTTTGTAGTGATACCATTGCAGACCGCGCCCCACCCTTTCATAGATGCGTCGGTTGTTATTGTAAGGTCTGGTGTAGGGGCGTTGATTGGACTGCCATTTACGTTTCTGATGTTTGAGATCCACCATTTCAGGTCCATTCGAGAGTTGTGGTTCAGAGTCATTAATGCGCTGTAGTCRTGATCGTTCACTTGCAGATGGTTTATCAATTGAATTTGTAGGTGTCTGAAATGGAGTGGTGCTTGGTGAATCGCAGGACGTGCTGCTTCTAGAGTGCCTATGATTCTGGCTATTTCCTGACCCGTCACCAAAGGCTGTTTCAGAATATTTTGACAACGATCTACAATCACTTGGAGTTTGTCCTCTGGGAGACTTAGAGTGAGGGATTGAGTGTTTATTATAAAGCCCAGAAAAAGTACTGATTGAGTGGGTAGCAGGGTTGACTTTTCCCTGTTTACTGTGAAGCCTAATTGTTCTAGGAGAATGACTGCCATAGCAGAATTGTTGCTCGATTCTTCTCTGTTCGGGGCTATGAGGAGAAAGTCGTTGAGGTAAAGCAGCATACGAATTCCTCTTTTCCGAAGGAATGACGCAACTGGCTTTAAGAGTTTTGTAAAGACCCTTGGAGCGGTATTTAGACCAAATGGAAGGCTCTCTGACTGAAAGGCGTAACAAACGTCCTTCCATGAAAACATTAGGAACTTCTGTGATGTTTCGTGTACGGGGACTGACAGGTAAACGTCCTTTAAAGCGACAGTTGTCATGAAGTCTCCTTGTTGGATTATAGACTTTAGGCAAGAAATGTTTTCCAWTTGAAAATGAAAATTCTGAATATAACGGTTCAGGTAACTCAAGTCTATAACTGGTCTGAGAGAACCACTTTTTTGGGGTATATGAGAAATACACGGCTGAAAAACCCTTCCTTGGGCTGATTTATAACTTTTATTGCGCCCAAGGTTAAGAGACGATGAACTTCGTCGTCTACAAAACATTTGTTTTGAACGGTACAAACTGTAACAACGGGATATTTTTGAATAGGAACGTGATAAAACGGTATTTTGTAACCTTGAACTATGTCTAGAATATCTGGATCTGCAGTTATTTGTTTCCAGACGTGTAGGAACTTGTCGATTCGCGGTTTGTGCTCGTTGAGGCACGAAATGGCCGGTAGTGGAGTGTGGACTCAGGGTCATACATGCCTTGAGTGACTTTTGCGTTCTCTGATGACTTGTAGGGGTTGTTATCCCCTCTAGATGATTTACATCAGCATGTTCTGCCATAATGGACAGTGAATCGTCTTGAACGCTTTCGCTATGGTCTGTATGCTGATCTTGTGTGAAAAGTCGGCTTTCTATCACTGATATGCGACTATTTCGCATTAAGCGATTCCTGGAGATCTTTTATCGCTGAAAGGACTTGGGATACATCGTCAGAAGACTTATGTCGCTTGGCGGGAGGAGATTTTACTCCTTCGAGGTGACAAATCGTGTTCGACTGAGTCACGCCGCACTTCCCTGTGGCGGGAAGAGTGTTGAGATCTTTTACGCTCAGAAGGCATTGCTCTGAAATATAAAAAATTATGCAAAACACAAGAAATAATATCCCTTAAGATATTTAGAGTAAAATAATTGAGGTCAGTGCACCTAGGACGGGATAAAAAAGGTATTCGATTAGAAAAAATACAAACTTACCTGTGGTCGCGAAGCACAAAGGAAAGAATGGCTATGCTTAGTAGCCGCGCCTCTGGTGTCGCAGGGGAAGCTGGGATTACGTCATACTCAATTGTTTTTGCATTTTTATGCGTTAAAGAGTGGTCCGAAGCACAGTAAATGGAAATATTCCTGTTATTTTCTCATATATTTCGAACGGAGTTTGTGAAATATAATTTCCCATGCTTTTGTAATGTCAATATGTTTTCGATCTTTCTTGTGTTCTCTGCGCAAGTGATTCTGTTGTGTGTACACTAATTAACAGCGGTCTCGCATTGAACGGGGAAAAGGATTAAATTTTAAGAGCAAAGGTGAAGACCTTAGTAGTATAGAATCAGCAGTACGGACCTTATTTTGGCTGGTAATTTGTTGGTAATAGTTGGCAGAATGCTTAAAAAAACGAACCAAGTCCGAAAGTCCGCCATGTTGTTTGTCATTTGCGGGTGAGAAATAGACCTGTCAATCTAGCAAAAAAAGTGGGTCAACCTAGAACAAATTGCAACAGAAGGTATTCCAAAGGATTTCTGATCAGAATGTTATGGTGAACAACATATCAAAAGTCATGTTTTTCCGGCACTCTTTGGTTGCACATCAAAACGAGGCTGACGCGATAGAAAGAAGTTTCAAGCTAAAATATAATTCGCAAGCACAAATATTTGGTCAGAATTGTTAGCTTCAGAAGGTATGAATAAATAAATAAAAAAA